GAAAGCAAAGATGGGCAGCTTCACTAGTTTGGCCTCTGTACCTCAGGTATAGAGGGACTCTTTTATCAACAGGATAGAAGAGCAGCCATGAAAAATGCACCCTGAGCCAGAAAGTAACACAAACACCATGGCTTGTTATTTAACTTGGTGTTATCCTACCCATCCAAGCTTTGCTTGAGTGATCACATCAGTGCTCCTTGTCACATGTAAGTTACAATCCAGGGACCAGTGTCAGGTCAACTCCCTTGATCAGTTCTCCTGTGACCTGACTGTGCTTCCAAACCCTCATGGGGCCTAAAGATACAGAGTTTTCTGAGATCCGGTTCTCATGGTTCAGCTGTAGTTGGAAGTCACTGGGTCTTGTGTGAGCAGGACCATGAGGTCCACAGCAAGTGCCAAGAGGTCAAAGGTTCCTGGAGAGGCTACAGATGTTCCTTGTGGCAAGGCTAAGAGGAACTGTCAGCGTGACCTGCTGTCCTTCACACTTGGCCTGATGGGAAGGCTGCATGGGACAGAGGAAGTGAGGATACAGAAAAAGAAAAGACTGGAAGTAATGGCTACCAGAGGCCGTAATGTGCTGCATGGGGAAGCTATGCAAGTGAGTGTCGTAATCCAGCCGTGCTCGGGGTTTCATGGGATTGTCAACACTGTCCGGCTGCTTTATAGTCCCTTATAAATATCTTTGTAAGGCACCACAGAGACACTGGGGAGATGGTCCCCTTGTCAGGAGAGAAGTAATAAAGGGTATGAGTGCATAGAGGAAAAGAAAGTAAACCGCCCTGGCTCCCCGGTCCCATCATGGAGGCTCCCATTCATCCAGTCCCCAGACCGATCCAGGGCATGAAGAAGGACTCAAATGCCCCCCCAGACCCAGGATCACCCTGTACTACTCAGTTCCCATGTACTATGTCTCCTTCTCCACCCAGGCCCAGGTCCCTGTTCTTGGAAAGCTTCTAGAAGGTTCCATAGTCCTTAAACCTTGGCTTTCATTGACTGCTTCCTTCTCTTGTCCCATGTTGCCAAGATATTGGGCTCCACCTCGGCTTGTCTGAGTTCCATCAGGTTACCTTCACCTCCAGGCCTCCTTTAGAAACGGAGACTCCTGTAAGTCCAGGTCCTGAGATGAGGACTTTTCTGCCTGCCCTGAGCTCCCTGTCACCTTGCACTGTCTACCTAATCTGACCCCATGACCTTATCTTGAATTCTTTTCTGAAGAACCCAAGACCTTTGGAGCCTAAGGACACATTCTCTCACCCCAGCATCACCTCTGAAGTCAATGTCCCAGGGCCTGTCCCAACCTAGTGAACACATCTGGTGTCACTGGATTAACTGGCATTTTCAAGAGAAAGAACTAGTACAACACATACATCTATACAGAGAGAGAGATTACTATTATTTTATATCCTTAAAGATCTATTTATGGGGCTGGAGAGATGGCTCAGCGGTTAAGAGCACTGGCTGCTCTTCCAGAGGACCCAGGTTCAATTCCCAGCACCCACATGGCAGCTCACAACTGTCTGTATCTCCAGTTCCCTGGGATCTGACACCTTCACACCAATGCACATTAAATAAAGTTAAATAAATTATTTAAAAAAAACTATTTACTTTTCTTTTATGTATGTGGGTGTTTTGCCCACACATATGTCTGTGCCGGGAATCGAATCCAAGTCCGCTGGAAGAGCAGCTGTGTTCTAACTGCCGAGCCGACTCTCCAGCCCCATTATAGTTTTTTGAGGCAGGGTCTCAATATGGAGCTCAAGTTGGCCTTTACCTCACTATTAAACCCAGGCTGGCTTCAGACTCAATGTAATTCTGTTGCCTTAGTCCCACAAGTGCTAGGATGAGAGGTGTGAGTCACCGTGCCTGGATCTTCTCTCACCCTCTTCGGGAGACTGAGGGGGCTCTCCCCATGGTGTGCATGTGGCGTCAAAGGGCAGTTTGCCGGAGTCAGTTCTCCCCTTACACCGTGTGCGTTCCAGGGGTTGAACTCAGGTCATCAGGCATGGGGGCCTTTACCCACTGAAACATCTCATGGGCCCTTTTTAATTTTTAAATATTTATTTTAAGTGTGTGTGTGTGTGTGTGTGTGTGTGTGTGTGTGTGTGTGTGTGTGTAGATCCCAAAGAGGCCAGAGGAGGGAACTGAATGCCCTGGAGCTGGAGTTACAAGTGGCTGTAAGTCACCTGATGTGGTGACTGGGAACCAAATTTGGGTTCTTTTTTTT